CCCATCGAGCTGGATGCCTGCTACATGACCGGGGCGGCTCAACGCGTCTGCTTTGTTGTGTATCCTGGGCTTGTAGAAGTGACGCCTGTCTTCAAGGCTCATTACGTTGCACGAGGCTTTAGTCAGCGACAGGGAGTTGACTTCTTCCAGACCTTCTCCCCTACCCCAAAGATGACCACTCTTTGGGTGCTGCTGCACGTCGCCGCTCAGTGTGACTACGAGCTTCACTCTCTTGACTTCAGCACAGTTTTCTTACAGGGCAGCCAGCACGAGGAGATCTGGCTGCGCCGCCCACCTGGCTTCACTGGGTCGTTTCCTGCACGTACCCAGTAAAGCCTCCGGCGGCCAGTCTACGGTCTCCGCTAGGCGCCTCGCGAGTAGCACGACACACTGAGGACGATGTTTGCGGCTCTTGGGTTTGCTCCTTCGACTGCTGACCCATCGCTGTTTCTGCGCACCGACACTTCGCTGCCGCCGTTCTACATCGTCGTGTATGTCGACGACTTGATTTTTGCCGCTGCTGACACTGAGGCACTCGCCCACGTAAAGTCCGAGCTGCAGAAGAGACACACCTGCACTGACCTGGGTGAGTTGCGCAGCTATCTTGGCTTGCAGATCACCCGGGACAGAGCACGGTGCACCATCACCCTGACTCAGTCACACATGGTGCACCAGATTCTTCGGCGCTTCGGCTTCCGGTACTCCTCGCCACAGTCCACTCCTCTGCCTACCGGTCACTCGCTCTCAGCTCCACCTTCGGACGAGTCCATAGAGCCGAGTGGCCCGTATCCAGAGCTTGTGGGCTGCCTCATTTACCTGATGACCTGCACTCGACCTGACCTTGCCTACCCTCTTAGCATCCTGGCACACTACGTTGTGCCCGGGAGACACCGACCAGTGCACTGGGAGGCCGCTAAGAGGGTGTTGCGCTACTTGTGTAGTACTTCGGCCATGGGGCTTGTTCTTGGAGGACGGGGTCCAGTTCTCCTCACTGACGCGTCTTGGGTTGACGACTTGGCTACGCAGCGGTCGTCACAGGGTTACGCTTTCAGCCTTGGCTCCGGCTCTGTTTCTTGGCAGTCTATCCGCTCGTCTTCTGTTCTCAGTTCCAGTTGTGAGGCTGAGATCTACGCAGGGGCCATGGCTGCACAGGAGTTAAGCTGGCTCACCTACCTGCTGACCGACATGGGAGAGCGGCCTCGTTCTCCTCCAATTCTGTACGTAGACAACAAGGCCATGATTCCCTTGTGTCAGGAGCACAGACTGGAGCACAGGACGAAGCACATCGCTCTGCATTACTTCCTTGCTCAAGAGTTGCAGCACCGTGGTCAGCTTCATCTTGCTTACGTGGCCACTCGGGCCAACACTGCTGATATATTCACCAAGGCACTTCAGCCTGGTGATCATCAGCGTTTCTGTACTGTTTTAAGCCTTGTGCCTACTTTGCCTCACTTGCTCACTGCGTGACTTTGCTTGTACTGTGATCTATATACACATACCTGCATGCTTACCCCTGCTAGGTTATGATAACTGTACTGTTTGTTCTCGTTATATAATTCCGCATGTGAACTGGCCTTGTGGCCATTTGCTTGTGCCCAGAGTGTGTGGTGATTTTGTGATCCACCCTGAGCTTGCTTTGCCTTTTCTTGACTGGTCTTGTGACCTCCTGTTCTCCCCCACTATGCCTATGGGGGTGTGTCAAACTGTTCTAACGTTTATATTGTGTAGGCTGTAGTGGGGTAGCCCATAAGGGGTACAACCCAGTTAGGGTTAGTAGTTGTACTAAGTTTCTTGTCAATGCATTCATTCTCGTTCAGTATTGAGACACTTTCGACCTCACGAGGGCATGATGTCATACTTGTGGTGATCGATATGTTCTCCAAAATGGGACACTTCATCTCGACCAACGCCATGGCTACAGCTGAAGCAACTGCTCGACTATTCTTCGATCGCATCATCACCATCCACGGCATCCCCGCTACACTCATCTCGGACAGGGACACAAAATTAAAAAAAAAAACTCCCTTCTTTCTGTGCTATGGACGGGAACCACTTACACCACAGCAGCCAACCACACCAGCACACGTTCAAGCCGCACACGACTTCGTCACCACCATGCAGCAGCTATGGGAGAAAACTCAGCGATGCCTCACCACAATGCAGAACTCCCAAAAGCAGTATGCAGATTAACAACGACGAGAATAATCAGTAGCAGTCGGAGATTAGGCGATTCTTTACACACGCAACTTGGACTTGTACCATCTTCCGTCCAAGCTCCGGCCTCGCTTCTGTGGTCCTTTTGGCGTTGCGGCGATGATGACTCCAGTAACATTCCGCTTGCGCTTACCTACCATTTATAAGTTTCACAACACTTTCCATGTTCAGCTACTAAAGCCCTACAAGTACCCCAACTAACAGTTCCATGGACGACAGCTATCGCCACCACCACATGTTCTCGTACAGACAAACCAAAGTACGAGGTGGAAGGAGTGCTTGCTCATCAACGCAGACATGGCAGCACGCTCCATTTCCTGATATGCTGGAAGGGATATGACCCATCGGAGAACAGTTGGGTTATAGAAGCTGATATGGGTGACGCACGCCGTGCTCTAAAAGGACTCTCTTGTCAGCAGGGTGTTTCTCACGCTACCCAATTTTGAGGGGGGGACGTGTTAGAGTACAATGGCTCTGCATACATAAACTTACCTTTATCTGCTTTCTATTGCATTATCTTGCTTAGCCTTATTTAATTATGCATGCATTTGTTTGATTTCTTAGATTCATTGCTTGAACCATATTTATTATAGTTATAGGCACCGAATAGGTTGCGTGAACTGAATTAGTGCTTTTCGATTGCCACCGAATTGCTTGTACCAAATTCGGGAAGGATCCGTTTGGGACGCTTCGCGACCCTCAAAACCTTCTCGTAACCTTGGGGTTACTGGCCTTGTGTCATGCATATATAGATATATATAGCACGACGTTATACCTAGGTTTTCATAATTCACTTTGAGCACATTTCCTTTCCTAGACCTGTGACACTCGAGGAGCGCATTGCTGATGGTGGTGTTGCCCGCGGAGTTTGCGGTAGGGTTGGCAGGGCCTTCAGCAGTGGGAGTCGCCTGCCCGCCAGATCCTCTAGCCATGTTTCGGTGGGAGCGCGTACCGGAGGCCACCTTAAATTTGAATTTGAATCAGAGGTGGAAGTGCGAAGAATCCTTAGTGACTCTCATACCATGTTACAATCTGAAATGACTTTATAGGATTGTCTTAGGTTGATTGCACGTAGTGTAGCAGCGGAAGGTTTGCTAGTGATGTCAGGTACGGACCCTGTCAGAAGAATGAGATTTGCATATTGACAGAAGTGTCTAACACAATGTGGTACAGGGGTTTATATAGGAATACAGTGGAATATGAAAGGTCCTAGTTAGCCATGTACCCTGAGGGGGTACATTCCCCTTAGGGCTAATCCAGATCTAGGAAACCAACCGTGGACTTCGGTAATGATATGCGCCACGGTAACTGTTCGAAAGTTTTTCCGCGCTTTGCACTTCAAGTTCTTCCTTCTTTCAACCGTCTTCGATAACCAATTGTGTCGCTCGGTCTTCGTCCTCGCTGCAATTATCTTTGCGTTAAGAGTTCATTACCGTAGGAATGTTATTCAACAATTCCATATCGTAACGGATGGTACAATCGAACATGGCATCAACATGAGCAAATGCATTTGTACAAATGAACACGGTATGAAGTGTGATGCGGATGCTTAAAGAAATGTTACAATCTATCAACGTAGCAATAGAGATTGATGGGGTTGTCAGAAGAATGAACGAGAATGAATGCATTGAGCAGAAGTTGGATACAAGTACTAACCCTAATTGGGTTGTACCCCTTATTGGCTACCCCACCATAGCCTACACAAAGCAAGCAATATAACATTCTGACATACCCCCATAGGCAAAGTGGGGGAGAACAAGTGGTCACAAGACCTGTCAAGAAAAGCAAAGCAAGCTCAGGGTGGATCACAAAGTCACCACACAGTCGGAGCACAAGCAAAGGGCCACAAGGCCAGTTCACATGCAGTGTTATATAAAGAGCACAAACTATACAGTGATCATAGCCTAGCAAGAGTAAGCATGCAGGAATATATATAGATCAAAGTACAACCAAAGTCACGCAGTGAGCAAGTGAGGCAAAGTAGACACAAGGCCTAAAATAGTAGAGAAGCGCTGATGATCACCAGGCTGAAGTGCCTTGGTGAATATATCAGAAGTGTTGTCCCTAGTGGCCACGTACGCAAGACGAAGCTGACCACGCTGCTTCAACTCTCGAGCAAGGAAGTATCGCAGAGCGATGTGCTTTGTTCTGTGCTCCAGTCTGTGCTCCTGACACAAGGCAATCATGGCCTTGTTGTCTACGTACAGAACTGGAGGCGAACGAGGTTGCTCTCCCAAGTCAGTCAGCAGGTAGGTGAACGAAGCACATCGCTCTGCGTTACTTCCTTGCTCAAGAGTTGCAGCCTCTGCTGCCCCTTCCCCTGCAGCCTCTGCTGCCCCTTCCCCTGCAGCCTCTGCTGCCCCTTCCCCTGCAGCCTCTGCTGCCCATTCCCCTGCAGCCTCTGCTGCCCCTTCCTCTGCAGCCTCTTCTGCACCTTCCTCTGCAGCCCCTGCTGCCCCTTCCTCTGCAGCCTCTGCTGCCCCTTCCCGTGCAGCCTCTGCTGCCCCTTCCCCCACAGCCTCACTTACCTCTTCCCATGTAGCGTCTGTCGCAAATCCCCCCCCGGCTCTGCCCTCTCCCACTTCTGTGTGCTTGGATGTGTGGGCAGAATTTGGCGTTTTCATGTGTTTTTTGGCCTGAGAGTGGGAAGTAGTGGGTGAGTTGGAGGACCTCTCTGCTGAGCATGTACGCTATTTCTCTGTTGGGCTTGGCGTTCCTCTGTTCCATCTTCCTCAAGGGTACGCTTCTGGCCCCGAGGGTCAGAGTGCTTGAGTGTTATCGCTTGGTCAGGTGTGGGTTGTTTCTTCCGGACTGTTGAAGTGGAGGGAGTGGGTGCATACGGGGTGGCTCGGCTGTGGGCCCTCCCAGATCGCCGAGGGGCTCCCGGGTCTGCCTTTCCCCCACTCGCGGGGAGCTGGGGCATTGTCACAGAGGCAGCATGCCTTGTGGTGGCGGTGTCGGTGGCTGGAAGGGGCTGAAAAGGGCTTCACAGGGGGTAGGTAATCCCCGGCAGAAGCCAAGCTAAGGGGGGGTAGCTTGGAAAGAAGGGAAGAGGGTGGGGACAGACTGTTGGAGAGGATGGGGGACCAAGGGGGGGACGGGCTGGAGGACAGAAGGGGGGGGGAGTGGTGGCAGGGTGCAGGGGAGGTGGGGAAGCGGAGGTGATGTAGCGGGGGATGAGCAGGGTGTGGGGAAGGGTGGTGCAACCGAAGGAGGGGGGCCGGAACAGAAGTCAACGGGAGGTGAGGGTGGGTAGGTGAGGCCCAGGAGGGAGGGAAGGGGGGAGGGCCGAGGGGGAGGGGCGAAGGGTAGTTGGCAAGGAAACAAGTGGTCAAGCTGGCGTGAGCCTTGTGGCGGGTGATGAAGGGGTTGAGGGGCGAGAGGTTTGAAATCGGGAGGGCAGAGAGGGCACCGGAAGGAGGCGCTGTGGTACAAGGAAAAGAAAGTGGGGGGCTGGAGCAGAAGGGACAGAGGGGGTGGGGGAAACGAAGATAGGTGATAACAGGGGAGGGGCGGCCCCCAGGGGGGAGTGTAAGTGGAGGATATTAAGAAAGGGGGTGACTGGCGTGAGTCGGGGGAGGGGGCTAAAAGGCACTAGGAGCAGGAGCGTGGGGTGTAGAGGTTGGATACCGATGGGAAAAGCTGTCTGGTGCCAAGGAGGGACAGGTGGATCGCTGGGAGGACAGGGGGAAAGGGATGCCGGGGTGATGCCCACGCTGGATACAGGTGAGGGGGAAATGGCGACTGGAAGGGGGTGCACGGCTCGTACAAAGGTGGGGGGCAGAGTGGGGGTGGGCAGCGCAAGGAAGACAAGTGGGGGGGTAGAGGGGGTACGCTGCAGGGAGGGGAGTAGGGGAACATATAGGTGGAGGTAGGGAGTGTGGGTGGGGGGGGGAGAAGGGGCGGGGCAGAAGGGGGCAATAGCACGCCTTGAAACCTGCTCCTCTTACTGAATATATTTGGTTTTGTTTTGTTTTGCTTTGTTTTTGTTTTTGTTTTTGTTTTTGTTTCTTTATTTCTTTCTTTCTTTCTTTCTTTCTTACTTTGGTTGTGTTTCTAGTATGTGGGCAATGCTATCCGCGGGTACGTGACTGCTAGCGGCGGGTACGACATTGCTAACGGCGTGTACATCACTACTAGCGGCGGGTATGCGACTACTAGCGGTGTGTACGTGACTGCTAGTGGGGGCTTGTAACTGCTAGTGGTGGGTACGCGACTGCTAGAGGTGGGAACGCGACTACTAGCCGTGGTTATGTGACTGCTAGCAGCGCGCATGTGGCTGCTAGCGGCGGGAGCGTGGGCAAAGCTAGCGGCGGACTGTGCGGGCAGTGCTGGCAGCAGATATGCAAGCTATGTAAGCTGGCGCGACGAGCGGCGCGTTTGTATGGGCGGCTCTTGCGTTCCTGCCCCTTCTACCCGTCTAAGGGCATGTGCGCAAACGAGATGGTAAAGATGCGGTGTGGGGATGAAAACGAAAACCTAAACTCAAGGTATGTAACAAATATGGTCAAATTAGGTTAGAGGCAGAGATAGAAGCAAAGGGGCCTCGCTGCTAGAGAAAAACGATGGTCTCGCGGCCTCCCGCGTTTCCATTCACGACGGCCAACTGTCGCGTGCTAAAGGAGGTAAGAAATCGATGCGTTAAGTGGTGGGGCATGCGACAATTTGTTAGGAAAACGGCTTATCGTAAACTCTAAGCTAAGAAACTATAGTCGAATGTTGAGAGAGAGGGGAATCGGGAAGGAATAGAAGGGGGGGAAAGATAGGGTGGGAGCAGCGATCCTGGCGGGAGCAATGACAAACTCGTCCCTGGGTGTTGTAACCGCGCAAACGCCTCTCTCCACCTCACGCGTAAGTTTCCTGCCACACCGCGCTGACCTCAGTCAGGCGCTTAACGCGGGACCCTTGCGATCCTCTCGACACTCTTCACCAGCGCGAACCGCTCCATCGAAACACAAAAACTAACCCTTAGAAATAGTTCTAATAATGATATATACAACCTTACTAACGCATTTGTCCTTAAGCAACTCGAAATAGAAGGTTTAGGAGGCTCCTTAGTAGGCAGCCATGGCTAGGTAAGAGCTAGGTCAAGGTAAGAGCGCCGGTGGGCAAGAGCAGTACTGGGCTGGGTGACCTCCTGGGAAGTCCTCGTGTTGTACCCATTTATGCCCCTTGCTCGGCACGTTGCCGGGGAGGGGCAAGCGGGAAAAAGAAAGGACGATTTAGTGCATCCGATCTTTTTGTTTTGGCCTTTTTTGCCCGAACAGCGACTCAGCGGGGTTGGGCCCCCCCGGGGAGGCATTCCCGTGCGAAGAAACGCCCCGTGCGCACCACCGTTGGGCGGTTGGAAGCCGCACACAGTCGGGGGGGTGGAGAGCGAAATAGGGCAGCCGGGGGAGGGCGGGGGCGGTTCGATGGGAGTGGGGTGTATGGGGGGCAGGGGAGTTAAGGGGGCAAGGGGAGGGGCAGCAACGGGCAGGGGCTGGGCCAGCTGAGGGCAAGGGAAAGGGGCGGGCAGCGGGTGAGCAGAGGGGCGAGCGATGCAAGGGAAGCACCACAGAGGGGAAACAAGTTGCACGGAGGTGGGAGGTGGGGGGCGTGCGAGGGGGTGGAACAGGGGCAGGGAGGGGAAGAATGGGAGGATGTGGGTGGGGGGTGGGGGGGGAGGGGAAAGAGAGAGAGAGAGAGAGAGAGAGAGAGAGAGAGAGAGAGAGAGAGAGAGAGAGAGAGAGAGAGAGAGAGAGAGAGAAAGAGATGGAGAGGGAGAGAGGGAGGGGGGGGAGTGGGGGGAAGGGGAGAGGGAAGGTGGGGAGGGGGGCTGGGGGTGGGGATGGGCTGATGGTGGTGAGACGGCAGCAGGGAGGGGGAGAAGTCAGCGTAGCAAGGGGAAAGCACAGGGCAGGGGGGGAGGAAGGGAGGGGCAGGGAGGGAAGAGGCTGAACGTACAAAGAGCGGAAACGGGGGGGCGTGGATGGCAGGAAACAAGGGCAGGGGTGCTGGAAATCAAGGGCAGGGAGGGGAGAAGCGATGGGTGCGGGGAAAACAAAGGAGGGGCAGAGAGGGTACAAGGTGAGGTCAGGGAGGGAAGAATCGTGGGGCAGGGAGGGGAGAAACCAAGGACAGGGGCATGGGCGGCCAGGGACAAGGAGGGAACAAGGGAGAGGCACGGAGAAAGAAAGGGAGGTGCAGGGAGGGGAGAAACCGGGCGTGGGGGAACGGAAAATGAGGGGCAGGGCGGGGAGGAGGAAGAGGCTGGGAGGGGAGAGGCTGAGCACACAGAGGGGGGAAACATGGGGGCAGATGGCATGAGGGGGCAGGGGGTGTGACTATGAAGGGGGGGCTCGGGCAAGGGGTGTGTACCAGTCGGGGCACGGGATTGACGTGGTACGATCATACCTCGGCTACTACGCCGAATCCCATCAGAACTCCGAAACTAAGCACCGGTGGGCGAGAACAGTTATTCATGAATAAGGGAAAAGCAAATACAAGCTGAATATAAAGGTTTTTCTGAGAATTGGAAATTTCGGCATGACTAATTCGCTATGAGGACGATATATATATTTTGTAGGAAAGAGGGGAAGGAAAGAAGAAGGGTCAAGGAGTAAGAAGAAGTAGTAGGGAAAAGAAGAGAGTGGTAGGAAGAGAGGAGAAGGATAGAAGAAGGGAAAAGAAAGAGGGAGGTGGGAAGAGAAGAGGAGAGAGGGAAAGAGACTAAGGATGAGGAAGCACCAAGGGACCAAACACGGCAGCAACCCGCACGACAGCGCGGGCAGAACGTTTCAAGCACAGCCACTAATGTTTTATACACATGTGCATCATATATATGTTGCATGTCAGCAACAGTCTCGAAGAAACCTGTGATGTGGTGCCATGTACCCTGCCCCGCACTCAGTGGGACTGGTGCGGGCATCCACCCGTCGTCGGATCCCCCCAACTGCCGCACTGCATGCTGGATGATGCATTGAGCCTGCGCCGTGAGTCCTGCCTCAAATATCCGTGCCGATCCGTCATCCCGCCCTCCCCTATCCCTCCTCCGCTGTGCTATCCTCTTTGCGCAGAGCCACTGAAACTGACGCAGCGGCTCGCTCAAAAGGCCAAAGGTCTCAGCCACGCACGCGTAAAAGTGTGGTGCCGGCTGCAACCCCTCTAAGTGCGGCCCCCAGTGACGCAGCTTCTCCTGCACCCGCCTAGCTGCTGCCACTCCAATCTGTGTGTGGGTCATCCGTCTCAGCTGCACGTTCTCCTCCGCTGTGGATCCGTTATAGAGACATCCACAAGAACCATCAAAGTCTGCTCAATGTCGCGGCAGGTGAGGTCTGGAATGCGGGAGGAGGAGGTGCCTACACGGCCTATGCGTCCGACTGGTCCTTGCTGCTGGGCTGGCTGCTGCCCTGTCTGGTCCCTCGGTGCCTCCTCTCTGGTCGTCTCTCTCCCTCTGTCCTCTCCTCCATCCACCTGTTCTCTCCCCTCCCCCTCTCTACCCTCCCCCAACCCTCCCAACCCCCCTGCTCGATCCCATGCTGCCTCTCTCACTCCCTGGTCCTCTCCTCCCGATCCTGCTGCCCCCCCTGTACCTCTGTCCGCTCTCTGCACCTCCCGCCCCTGCCCCACCCCCAAGCCCGAACCCGGAGGCGCGGCACCCTGGGCCCGCGGCCTCCGCTGGCCCTCCTGCGCCACGGGAACTGCGTCAGTGACAGGCTGAACAGGGGGAGGCGCCACCACATCTGGGTGCGAGTGACACGGCCTCAGAACCAGGACCGTCTCCATCGGGCACGGGAGTGACGAGCCTAGCTGAGTAGTGGGGGGGGGGGTAAAAGAAGGGACAGAGCGAGCGACCTCCGCATACGTCCGGGTCCGGACCTGTGGGACTGGTAGGGTGGGGGCGTCCGGGGGGCTGCTGGGGCTCTGTATAGCCAGCAAGTCTGAGATGGCAGCCTCACCTCCTGTGGGGTCTCGGTAACCTGCTTGCCTGCTGGTAAGGGAAGAAGGTCCGGCAGGGTAGGGGGTGGGGTGGGGCGTGCTGGCTGAGCAGAGCTCGGGTATGGTCCCTGCTCTCGAGAGCCCCCTTGGCTCTCCCCAAAGTCCATGGGTTGCGGAAAGGGGCCGCCGGCCCAAACGGGGTGGGAGGTATGGGAAGAGGATTCGGTAGCGTCTGCCATTGGCACATCCCTCCTCTCGTCGGCATGACGTACGCGGCTGCTGCCACCTCGGGGGGGTTTAGAGGAGGGGAGGGGCAGCCCGAGGGTGGGTGGGCTGGATCGCTCCCATGGCCCTGCGGAGGGGCAGGAACGGGAGGGGGGTGTGTGTGTGATGGTTTGCCCTTAGGGGCAAGGCCTGGTGCATGTTCAGCGGTGTGTGAGGTGAGGAGGGGCGCCTGGGGGGGAAGGGAGGGAGGGGGGAGTAGGTGAGCTGACCCCTTGCCGCCTTTGCCTCTCTTCTTCCGTCGGCAGCCCACCTGGTTTTGGTTGTCCGTGCCTGCTGCTGTGGGAAGGGCGGGCTGAGGGGCCGTGGGAGTGAGTGGGGGGAGCGTGGGTGGTTGGCCAGGTGGGGGGAGCTCCATTCGCAACTCCTCCCTCTCCATGGCATCCTCCTCCGTGGGGGCCGGCCGGGTGGCCTAGCTGCTTGGGGCTGTGAGGTTGAAGGTGGTGATGGGGGTGGAGTTGGAGGGGTGGAAAGAGGGGGTGGGTTCCGGGGCATGTCCTTATGAGGGGTGTGCCCTGGGCGTTCCTATCACCACACACTCCCTCAACCCTTTGTGCCGATGGGCATGGTCCCTGTGGGTTGCTTCCACCAGCCCGGGGGAGGTGATGGGAGGGGTGGCGGATCAGAGGTGTGGAGAGCGTGGAGTGGGAGTAAGAGGTTCGACCCGACACCTCGGAGATGTGTACTGCTGTGGGAGGGGGTGGACCTGGTGGGGGGGGAGGTAGGGGCTGGGTGTCTGGGGTGGGGGAGCAGGGCTCCTCTAAGAAAGCCTTGGCCTTGGCTGCCCGGCCTATCACATGAGAATGCCTGCCGGGGTGGGGGCGTGGGGGGGATGTTCCTGGAGGAGGGTGGGCTGAGGGGTAGAGGTGGATGGGGGCGCCCTCCGAAAGCCTCGTCCTCGTTGTCTCCTCTGGATCCTTCCTTGGTCCACCTGCTAGCATGGGGTTTGGGAGTGGGGAAGTGGGGGAGACCTCACCATGGGGCAGCAAGGGGTCTCCATCGTCCCCGTCCATGGGGGTGAGGTAGTGGGCCAGAGGGCCATCGATGAGCATCAGGTCCCCCATCCCGTCCCACCCCCGAAAGGGTCATAACCACCTCGTCTACATCTCCCTTGGGCCGACCAGTTCCCTTCTCTCCTGTCCCCACTGTCCCTTGTCCCGCCGCGCCCGGACCTACTGCTGGCTCTTCACTGGCAGCACCCATTCAAACACTTCTGGGGCCTCTTCCGCCCCTGCTTGGTCCTCTGCCTCCCCTGCTGGGGCCACTGTCGCCCCTGCTGGGGCCTCTGCCGCCCCTGCCCCTGCAGCCTCTTCTGCCCCTTCCCCTGAAGCCTCTGCTGCCTCTTCCCCTTCTGCCTCTGCTGCCTCTTCCCCTGCAGCAGCTGCTGCGCCTTCCCCTGCAGCCTCTGCTGCCCCTTCCTCTGCAGCCTCTGCTGCCCCTTCCTCTGCAGCCTCTGCTGCCCCTTCCTCTGCAGCCTCTGCTGCCCCTTCCCCTGCAGCCCCTGCTGCCCCTTCCTCTGCAGCCTCTGCTGCCCCTTCCTCTGCAGCCCCTGCTACCCCTTCCTCTGCCGCCTCTGCTGCCCCTTCCTCTGCAGCCTCTGCTGCCCCTTCCTCTGCAGCCTCCGCCGCCCTTTCCTCTGCAGCCTCACCTGCTGCGATCCCTGCAGCCTCACCTGCTATGGTCCCTGTCGCCCCACCTGCTGCGGTCTCTGCATTCTCTCCTGCTGCGGTCCCTGCAGCCTCACCAGCTGCTAACCCTGCAGCCTCGCCTGCTGTGGTCCCTGCAGCCCCACCTGCTGCAGTCCCTGCAGCCTCGCCTGATGCGGTCCCTGCAGTCTCGCCTGTTGCGGTCTCTACAGCCTCACCTGCTGCTGTCCCTGCAGCCTCACTTGCTGTGGTCTCTGCAGCCCCACCTGCTACTCCGGTGCCGTCTTCAGCAGCCCCTGCCGCCCTTTCCTCTGCAGCTTCTGCTGCTCCTTCCCGTGCAGGCACTGCTGCCCCTTCCCCTGCAGCCTCTGCTGCCCCTTCCCATGCAGCCCCTGCTGCCCCTTCCCCTGCAGCCTCTGCTGCCCCTTCCTCCGCAGCCTCTGCTGACCCTTCCCGTGCGGCCTCTGCTGCCCTTTCCCCCATAGCCTCCCTCACCCCTTTCCCTGTAGCGTTTGTCGCAGATTCCCCACCGGCTCTGCCCTCCCCCACTTCTGTGTGCTTGGGTGTGCGGGCGGGATTTGGTGCTTCCATTTGTTTTTTGGCCTGGGAGTGGGAGGTAGTGGGTGAGTTGGAGGACCTCTCCACTGAGCATGCACGGGTGCTCCCGCTATCATCTGGATGGAGGGTGGGCAGGGGTGGGGCAGCGGGGTTGGGGCGGGGTTTTGAGCGTGCTGGCTCTTCTTCGTGTGTTTCTTCCCTTTGGGCTAGGTGTTCCTCTGTTCCATCCTCTTCAAGGGTACGCTTCTGGCCCCTAGGGTCAGAGTGTTTGAGTGCTTTTGCTTGGTCAGGAGTGGGTTGTTTCTTCCTGACTGTTGAAGTGGGGTGGGTGGGTGCGTAGGGGGTGGCTCGGATGCGGGCCCTCCCAGATCGCCGAGGGGCTCCCGGGTCTGCTTTTCCCCCACTCGCGGAGTGCTGGGGCATTGTCACAGATACGGCATGCCTGGTGGTGGCGATGTGGGTGGCTGGAATTGGCTGGAATGGGCGTCAAAGGGGGTAGAAACTCCCTGGCAGAGGCCGGGGTGGGAGGGGGTGGCTTGGAAAGCAAAGGGAAGAGGGTGGGGACAGGGGTGCGTAGTGGGGTAAAGAGAGGGTAAAAGGGGCAGAAAGTTGGAGGGGATGGGGGAGCAAGGGGGAGACGGGCTGGGGGACAAAAGGGAGAGGAAGTGGTGGCGGGTTGTAGGGGAGGTGGGGGAGCAGGGGTGATGTAGCGAGGGGTGAGCCGGGTGGTGGGGCCGAAGTGAGGAGGGCGGAACAGAATTCAACGGGAGGTGGGGATGGGCAGGTGGAGCAAAGGGGGGAAGGAAGGGGGGGGGACAGAGGGGGAGGGGGAGGGTGGTAGTACTGGCGTGAGCCTGGTAGCGGGTAGTGAGGAGGTTGGGGGGCCGGGAGTGGGAACGTGGGAGGGCAGAGAGGGCACCAAAAAGAGGAGCTGTGGTAAATGCAGAATAAAATGGGGGGCTGGACAACAGGGGACAGAGGGGATTGGGGGACCGGCAAAAGGTGATAATAGCAGAGGGGCGAGCCCCAGGGGGGGGGGAATATGGAGGGTACTGGAGAAGGGGGAGACTGGGGGGGGTTGGGGATAGGGGCTGGAAGGCACAAGGGGCAGGAACAGGGGGTGTCAAGGTTGGCTGGGGGAGGGAAAGGCGGTCTGGTGCCGAGGAAAGGCGGAGGGGGGTTGGGGACAGCACAACACAGGGAGCAGGGACAAGGGGTGTAGACTTTGGCTGGGGGTAGGAAGGGCGGTGTGGTGTCAGGGAAAGGTAGAGGGAGGCTGGGGTAGGTGGCTGGACAGCACAGGGAGCAGGGGCAGGGGGTGTAGAGCTTGGCTGGGGGTGGGGAGGGCGGTGTGGTGCCAGGTGGCGGCAGGTGGGTCACCGAAGGGTCTGGCAAAACGGGATGCAGAGGTGCAGCCCCCGCTGCATATGGGAGCAGCTGAGAGGGAAAGGGCGGATGGAGGTGGAAGTACGGCTCGTAGAGGTGTGGAGGGCAGAGTGGGAGTGGGGAAGGCAGGAGGGGGGGTGGAGGATGGACGTTGTGGACAGGGGAGTGGGGGAACATGCAGGTGGTGATAAGGAGAATCCAAAAAAGAAGGGGGAGGTGGTACGAAGTGGACAAGGGTGACGAAAGGACAGAGCGCGGAGGTACTAAGGGCAGGGATACGGGGGGCTGGGGGGAGAAAAGCCTGCTGGGGGGGCGTGGAGAGGGGCGGCAATGCTGGTGGGCAAAAGGGGAGGGTGTGGTGCAGTGTGGTGAAATCGAACGGGGGTTGGCGGGCTGGATGAGGTCCTGGAGGGATGGGGGAACAAAGTGTAAGCTGCCTTTCGGATGTTATGTTTTTTATTTTCTTTGAATCTATTCTCTCTTACTTCCTATGGTTTTCAGACACAGGGCGGCTTCTTCTAGCTAAGCGCCGTAAGGGAAAGATATATGTTAGGCGGCAAGGTGGCTGAAAAGGGCTTCACAGGGGGTAGGTAATCCCCGGCAGAATCCTAGGTGAGGGGGGGTAGCTTGGAAAGAAGGGAAGAGGGTGGGGACAGACCGTTGGAGAGGATGGGGGACCAAGGGGGGGACGGGCTGGAGGACAGAAGGGGGGGGGGGGGAGTGGTGGCAGGGTGCAGGGGAGGTGGGGAAGCGGAGGTGATGTAGCGGGGGGTGAGCAGGGTGTGGGGAAGGGTGGTGCAACCGAAGGAGGGGGGCCGGAACAGAAGTCAACGGGAGGTGAGGGTGGGCAGGTGAGGCCCAGGAGGGAGGGAAGGGGGGAGGGCAGAGGGGGAGGGGCGAAGGGTAGTTGGCGAGGGAACGAGTGGTCGAGCTTGCGTGAGCCTTGCGGCGGGTGATGAAGGGGTTGAGGGGCGGGAGGTGTGAAAGCGGGAGGGCAGAGAGGGCACCGGAAGGAGGCGCTGTGGTACAAGAAAAAGAAAGTGGGGGGCTGGAGCAGAAGGGACAGAGGGGGTGGGGGAAACGACGATAGGTGATAATAGGGGAGGGGCGGATATTAAGAAAGGGGGTGACTGGCGTGGGTCGGGGGAGGGGGCTAGAAGGCACAGGGGGCAGGATCAGGGGGTGTAGAGTTTGGCTACCGATGGGAAAAGCTGTCTGGTGCTAGGGAAGGACAGGTGGATCGCTGGGAGGACAGGGGGAAAGGGATGCTGGGGTGATGCCCACGCTGGATACAGGTGAAGGGGAAATGACGACTGGAAGGGGGTGCACGGCTCGTAGAAAGGTGGGGGGCAGGGTGGGGGTGGGCAGCGGAAGGAAGACAGGTGGGGGGCAATAGCACGCCTTGAAACCTGCTCCTCTTACTGAATATATTTGGCTTTGTTTTGTTTTGCTTTGTTTTGTTTTTTTCTTTCTTTCTTTCTTTTTTACTTTGGTTGTGTTTCTAGAATGTGGGCAATGCTATCCGCGGGTACGTGACTGCTAGCGGCAGATACGTCACTGCTAACGGCGTATTCATCACTACTAGCGGCGGGTATGCGACTGCTAGCGGTGTGTACGTGACTGCTAGCAGGGGTATGTAACTGCTAGCGGCGAGTACGCGTCTGCTAGAGGCGGGAACGCGACTGCTAGCGGCGGGTATGTGACTGCTAGCAGTGCGTATGTGGCTGATAGCGGCGGGGGCGTGGGCAAAGCTAGCGGCGGACTGTGCCGGCAGTGCTGGCGGCAAATATGCTAGCTATGTAAGCTGGCGTGACGAGCGGCGCGTTTGTATGGACGGCTCTTGCCGTCTAAGGGCATGTGCGCAAACGAGATGGTAAAGATGCAGTGTGGGGAGGAAAACGAAAACCTAAACTCAAGCTATGTAACAAATATGGTCAAACTAGGGTTAGACGCAGAGATAGAAGCGGTGGTAAAATGGTGTCGACGCGCCTGTGTCCTAAAAACGAATGGGCGCCGAAGAAACTAAGTCGATCGCGGCAAGGGAAAGGGGCGCCGCGTAACCGCCGCTAGAGAAAGACGACGGTCTCGCGGCCTCCCGCGTTTCCCTTTGCGATGGCCAACTGTCGCGTGCTAAAGGAGGTAAGAAATCGATTCGTTAAGCGGTGGGCCACGAAAATAACCGAGTCGCGCACGACTAATTGCTGGGAAAACGGCTTATCGTAAAGGTCTAAGCTAAGAAACTTTAGTCGAATGTCGAGAGAGAGGGGAATCGGGAAGGAATAGAAGGGGGGAAAGATAGGGCGGGAGCAGCGTTACTGGCGGGAGCAATGTCGAACTCGTCCCCGGGTGCTGCAACCGCGCAAATGCCTCGCTCCACCTCGCGCGTTCGTTTCCTGCCACGCCGTGCTTGCCTCTGTCAGGCGCTAAATGCAGGACACTTGCGATCCTCTCGACACTCTTCA